TATTTGAATTTTTACAATTTTGTAAAATCTATAACTGTATTTTTATAAGCCCAAAAACATAAATAAAATATTGAGAGATACATAAACATTCAAATAATAAAACTAAAATCATGTCAATAATAAAATGAACATAATTAAATAATATGATAGAAAAGTGATTCATATGGTTTTAGACTTTTAGGAATTCAATCTGTAAATATGGGGTATTCCATCTCCAACTGTGGATTACAGACCACACTAGCTTTATTGAACTGACTCAGTGTTTACCATGACCCACAGTCCAAGTAGGGGCTCATTAGCGGGTCACCAAAGTCAGGTCGATGAATTAAGGGGTCGCAATCTTAGTCTGTGGATTACAGGTCCTCTCTTAGAGACGAGTTAAGGTCACCACGACCTGATGCGACCACTGCTTTATGGCGCATAGTGGTATCTCTCGCACATGCATACGCTTCACCCAAAAGTGGGTATCTAGCTTTCCCGAATGATCTATCGATATGCATGTCATGTGTTAAAACATGGATAAGGTTTTGGCTCCCGTCAGTAGGCCTATCATCACACACAAGGGTCACACAGTCCCTCGGCTCTCTCAAAGCTCTGACCTCATCAAGGGCTAACCCAAAACCCTCCTCGGTTAATTCTTTATGCCCAGATACCTTGGGTTTTCCAACCGACTGGCCTAGATTGATAAGCACAATCCGGTATAAGCAAACATCATTCGTTTAGTATGGTCCTCGAGGGACCACACTCCCATTGAGTTTATGTTTCACTATAAAAGTATTTTAATACACACTCATAAGGCCTTTAAAGGTTACATAAACCCAACATGGGAGACTACCCTGAATCTATTGTTATTGTTAGAACACCATTGCTTGTTTGTATGTTAAGCTCACTAACGAACAAAGTTGTTCCATTATTAATAATGCAGTTTGGGCCGTTACCTAAAAGAAGGTTCCTATATCATTATGGAGTTTATTGAGTTTGGATCATCCAGAAGTAATCAGGTGATTAGGTTCTTTTTGTCCTTGACCAAGTGAGATGGTCATTTGAAATTGGTTAAATCATGTAACCATTATCTATGCTCAGTCAGTCAATGGGAGAAAGCTTGCTGAAATGCTTAAAGCTGCAAAATCTAACAAGGGTTTTGGATTTCCAGTCGACAACACCATAGGCAGGTAGAATATTTTTTAATCAATCATATATGCAGTGTTTATGATATAATTTTTGTTACTGTATTTAATATAAATAACCAGATATCTTTGAGGTGTTATGTCCAGTCGACAACACCATAGGCAGGTAGAACATTTTTTAATCAATCATATATGCAGTGTTTATGATATAATTTTCATATTGTATTTAATATGAATCACCAGATAACTTTGAGGTGTTATGTCTATCCTTCAAATTTATATATGGTTATTTTTTGTTATGTTCTTTCTCTTCCATTATATACATTTGGGCCTATGTTTTAACATTGAGGTGATTGTTTCATATGCTAATCATGTGCTAACACATCAATTCGGATTGTTGTAGCACGTCTCAGGTAAACACCTGGTCCACAGATTGGATCAGCTTTTTCTCTGAGAATCGATTGGGCCACCAGTTGAAGTTAGCTCGTGATCAATATGGGGATGCAAGCATTTATGAAAAAGGTAATGTGGTCCATGAAATGCTAGGCTGAGTTACTAAATGCTAAGAATGAGTTAGTACAGTGATGTTTACTTAACAAAAAAGAAAAAAAGTTTCATTTTGAAAGTCCATTGATGGTTAATCTTTTGCGCTAGAGACTATGACTTAAGTGATTTTTATCAGGATCTTGATTGCCTATCTCTACCTATTTGATTCGAACAGGGCAAAGGCTACTGAAGAGTATGCCACTTCTTTTTGAAGGTATTGACATTGAGCCTTGTTTGCTTCATGGAGACCTGTAGAGTGGAAATATTTGCTCCGACAGGAATGGGGAAGCTGTTATATTGGATCCTGCATGCTATTGTAAGTTTGCTTCTTGTATTTACAATTATTATACTTCTTGTGTCCCCACGTGTTCATGTAACAAGAGGTGGCTTGATTCCTATTCCTTTCAAAAACAGAGTGGTGATTTTCTATTCTCATAAAGACGTTCACAGTAGGCATATATTGCATGTTCAATTGTAACTTTTCTATATACTTAATTTATCTGTCCAGTCTACCACTCTTGTTGATCTTGGGAAGATCTGTCCGAATGTTAGTAACAGTTATTTGTAATTTTTTGAATCTTTCAGCAAATGAATATAATATTTGCTTATCGGCAGGAAAGACCTTTAAATGCTTGGAGACCTTGGTTTCTCATAGGGACCTTGATTGCTCATGGCTGGATTCTCTTGTTATATTGCACCGGGTCTCATGTAGATCGACATAACGAAGCCGAATTTGGAATGTCTTGGTGTGCTGGATTTGGTGGTGCCATCTATAGCTCCTATTTTTAGGTATTGTCTCATTTCCTTTTATTTGATTCAAAAGGCCATAAACTGTTTGTTTGTTTTCTATGTTGATATACTTTAGATGCATACAACTATGCATGCACACACGCACACAGACACATGGGGTTCTTATTCATGTAATTTACTCATGTGTACTATCTACATATTTATAGTTCTGTAATTGGTTGTGTTTGGTGTACTTGTGAGTATATACACTGTCAAGCACAAAGTCCTATAAAGAGATATGTATGTGTGTGTTGGATGGACATGTGGTGTATATATGCATGTTATAATAGCAAATATCATGTATTCATTTGCTTGTGTAGGCACTGACATTTGAGCTGCCAATTGCCCGGGCCAGCCTGCAGGCTCTCAGGCTGGCCTTGTGGGCCCAAAAGGATTTGGGGCTGTGTCAGCGCTGGCCCTGTCCTTGCCCTCGGGCCAAATAGAATTTGGATTATATGTTTTACATATTAAATAAAATGTTATATCACTTGTAAGACCCTTTTTTTCAGGCAGTTCTGAGGCTAAAATACTAAGAAATGAGGCCGGGCCTACCCTATTCCCTCTCAGGCCAGGGCTGGCCCATTGGTAGTCCTAACATAAAAATATATGAGTGTTTTCTCTATTTGTGGGCGGTGTGAATGGAAATATGCCTGTCTTGTGTGTGGGTATGTTTCTCTGCTCAAGGCGCATGTGTAAGTGTGTGTGCGT